CTGTGGTGTTTGTGCCTTAGTGACTCTCTCTCTGAATGTTACATGGAGCAGGAATCACTGTGTCACTGTCATGGCTGCATCCACAAGTGCAGTACTTGTGGAAGGAGAACAAAGACTCAGAGGACATTGAAGGAGAGCATCCTCAGAACCTGAGCTGGTGACACAATAGAAAATACTCTGGTTCAACTTTTATTAATAGTAAATAGGCTTTCCATCATCTTAATGATCAAATATATTATTTTGAATGCCTTCTGGATCGTTTTGAGGACAGTGATACATGCCCTGATAAAGGCTAGTGAAGCCTTTCCCTCCTGAGGAGAGGAGTGATGGCTCTTGTGTGATGTTACAGATGGTTGTCAGAGAAGATGGTAACTGAATGAGACAGGCATTCAGGAAGTAACTTATTGCAAGTCTGTTGAGAAATGAATTAAAGAGGGAGTAAAAGTGAAACACCCTATGGAGTATGGTTTGTGAAGTAATGAACAACAGGCAAGAAGTTGTGTGAAAATGTTCTGTGGAGGAGGTGACACACACAAAACAGATGTTTTTACTATTTGGTAATGATACAACCTAAGTAGCTGCTGATCTAATTACTCTAAGTTCTAGCTGTTTATTGTTGCTTGTCTTGCAGCAGCACTGGGAATCTGTACAGTTTGAGAGCAAGGAGGGTGGATGGATGAACTGAAAAAGAGAATGTATTTCAGAGGATTTTTTTAAAGAATTTTCGTGGAGAATGCCAGGATATCATTAACGCAAATCAGGAATCCAGACTGATGAAGTTAGTGCTAAAAACACAGAAATACCTTAAAGGCAGGTGCAAAATGTATAGTGCTTTGCACAAAATGTCCACAAAATGTCTTTGGTTTGCACTTCTTGAATCATGTCTACTTGGATTTCATTTGCTTAGCACCTGCCACTGTGGAGTTCTGAATCACGGTGATTCCTTCAATGTTTTCCACAAACTACTACTGTTTTTTTAAGAAAATAAATTGATAATGACACACTTTCCAAGTGTACAAGAAAAGTAATTCTTCACTGCTTTGTCACTTACCAATGAAAATGAAAGACATGTTTCCAGTGAACTAGAAAGGAATAGGATTTTGCTCGTAAATAAAGGGAGTTTTAACCCAGCTGTTTCTTTACCTAGAGTATGAAAGTCTTCTAGACTAGACTCTCTCTTCCCTTGCATCTGCACATTTCCAGAATATTTTTTAATGCATAACTTCCTTGGTAATTTACAGGGAACTATGTGCCACACTGGTAGAAGTTAAATTTCTCTGCAGAAGTGTGTATTTGGCATGGCCATGTTCACTTTCAGCTTTAAGAAGTAATAGCAATTAAGCATGTGCATCTCTGAACTAAGAGTGAAGTTTCAGTTAGAAAATGCTTGTTTGTAGATATTTGTTACAAAATAGAATAGCTCCCTATTTAAGGAATATATCTGCAATACAGCAGCACAAGTACAGCCTGCAAATGTCACATTACATCCAGCCTGGGGCAGACCAAATGACAGGTATAAATTAGTGCTTTCTGTCTAGTTTGAACTTTGCTTTCTGTGCAAAATCTGAAACAAAGTTTTCCTTTAAAAGAAAACTCAGGGTGTGGAAATTATTTTCTGACTTAAAGTATCATGCCATCTGTTACTGTTTTCTGTTGGTGGTATCATTGCTTTCTTGGGAGGTAAGTAAATCAGCGTAGAGTCCCTGTGCATGTCCTGTCTCTGTTCCCCCCGCCCTTTCTCCTCCCTACCACCCACCAATAAAAATGCTTTTAAAATAAAATGTCAGGAATTGGCAGGAGGAGGTACTTACTGTTCTCCTGATAATTTAAATGTTACCTTTCTGTAGGATGAAAGGAGCTGGAGCCTGCTTTCTCCTTCTGAATTGTAAGCAGAATATCCCCTCCTGAGATGCTTTACAGAAGTGAAGCAAAACTGAGTATAAGAGCTGGATGCTGCCTGACATTTAACACTGCTGCAGCTCAGCTGCTCTTAGACATATGAGTCCTTCCTCATGCTGTGAAAGTACACCGTGCTGTTCTGTATACTGAGGGTTCTAAAGTTCTTAATACACAGTGGTTTTCTTAAAACTTGGGCATTTGACATTGTGAGAAGCTGATATTGAAGGGATAAGGCTCTGCAAAACAAAAAGAAAATTAAGGAAAATAATAAAACTAGGTATTTGTACCAGTGTCATAAGAGATTGTTTTATTTTGTTTTTCCTTTCTCATTCTGTAGCATGTCCTGAGTCCATGGCAGCAGGTAGCCTGACAGGCTACCTCTAAAGCTGTACTTACATCAATTGCTGATGTTAGTGCACAAAGATAGACTGTTTTGGTAGGACAAGGCTCCATTGAAGTTACTGCTAATAAGCAAGCCAGCGCTGTTCACTTCAGTCCTATTCAAAACACAGGAAAAGGCTCAGTCTTTGCCAAACTTGAAAAGCTGAAACTATTACAGAGGTTAAAAATTACTTATTTCAAGTGGGTGTAAAACATATTTTCAAAATAAACACTGAAACCACACCTGACTCTTACCACATATATTAATCATATTCTGCGTGGGCATGAAGTACAGAAAATGTTGAGCTTTGTATTCCTTGGTTTTATAGATGCAGGTTTATTCTAACTAGCATTTAATATAAGCAATGCCTTAGTACTGTCAGATACAATGCATCTTCTCATTATGTAGTGCTACTACATTGTAAGTCCCATTGTAGCTTAGTTTACTCCTGGCAAAAAGATATGGCTTTTTTAATACCTCCCTAATACTTAACTTTTTTTTCTTTTTAATGATGTAGTCATAGGTGGGATTAATTAGACTTTTCCATTCTAAAGTGTACCTATACTTGTCTAAACAAAAGCTAGGATGTTAATCCTAGTGCAATAGCTTTTTGTGTTTCTGTAGCAAATTGTTCTCTTAGTTCAGCATGCTTGTGTTCTGTAGTGCTAGACTGATTGTCATCTGCTTTTTAAGTACAGCTCCTTGATGCACTGGTGATTCTTCTGAGAACAGTCTGGTGGTCTGTATGCTTGGTTTCAATTTTACATGCTGCTACAGGTGAATCAGTGTCCTACAGGTATAAAATGCTGGCATTCCCCAGCATGTAGTATGTGACGTTTGGGGGATTTTTTTGTTGTTTTTTTTTAACGTCTTTGAGTACATACTCCTGTTCTCGTCCATGTAAAAGCCAAACTGAGCCTGGCATTGTTTGCATGTGGCAGCGCTCTGCTCACATTTTAGAGATGGAAATGAAATGTGGGGAATTTCCCTCCTAAGAATGGGTGTATTACTGGGGAGCTGCCTGCCTCTCCTCCGTACTGCAGACAGATTTGCCTCCTTCCTGACCTGCCTGTGCCATGAGCCAAGGCTGCTCAGGGCACCAAAGCTTGCTGGGGTCTTCTCCACCTTGCTCTGGTCTGAGACTTGCTGCCACCATCCACACCCTGCATTTCTATCTCTAACATGTACCTAATTCTTTGCTCTCCTGAGTTTTAACTGCATTGCTGAGAGAACAGAGGTGGCGCAGTAGAATTTTTTTTTAAATCAGTATAAACCTTGGGTTTGATACCATGTTGTTACGACTCTTTTAATCATCTGATTCCTGACTGAATTATCATTCAGTAGAGTTCATATGGCTCAATTGCTGAAGCAACAGTGACAGGGTTGTGTTGCTTTTTAGGGTTTTGCCCTGCTTTTTTAGCTTAAATACTGCATTAGTAGAGTCCTTGTGTCTTCTGGTACCACTGTGAAGCAACGCGATCTGCATCCAAACCTGAGGCATTTCTGTCTTATTTAGTGTATTGTTTGGCAGATTTCTCTAATTGAGGATGTTAAAGAATAAGCAGTGTGGGGAAATCAAACTTGCCAATCTTCAATAGTAATTCCTGGGAAGAGATGCTGGTTGCACCCTTTGTCTCTTCATGGAGATACTCCATAAGGAAGGAGTTGAATTGGTGGTCAGCTGCACTTGTGCAGTCAAAACCCACTTGGGGCAGACACAAACGTGCTCTAGCTGGGTCATTGCAGACTCTCAAGATCCAGCAGGGTTTATTAACTTGGGCTCACTGCCAAGCTTATGCAACTGTGGTGCTCCCAGACCAAGTAGGATCTGCTGTTTTGGCATGGAGTCCGAGCAGTTAAAGCATGCCCAGTGTGAAGGGTGCAGATCTGGGTCCACCACGGTTCTTGGATCCAGGAGCTCTAGAAACACGCTGTGAATATCTGAACATATGGATCAGCTTGGGACTGTCAGGACTCTAGATCAGCAACAGTTTCTGCCCTGTTAACCTCAAGCTTGTTTGTTTGTCTGGTTTTTATTAAGGTTTTTTAATGTTGTTGTTGGGGTGTGTGTTTTTTTAAAATTTTCAACTCATGAGTTCTGGGGAAATATATTAGCTTGATCAGCCCCAAGCTCAACTAAAACTTTCTGCTTGTGCAGTATGGCATGTAAGGAACTTCTTGAAAACAGACTGCAGAGGTATTGAGTGTACTGAACAGGAACCAGCTCAGGGTTCTGGAGTCAGAGCTGCTGATCCTAAATTGACTTTTAATTTCCCTCTGTTTTATTTCCAGGTTGTTTTGCAGTGAAACAGTATGCAAATGTTTCCATTGGCTGCTTTCTCACAGCCTTTGTGAGCCATGACTGTGGTGCACTCACCATTACACCCAAAGTATGGAGTGGGCGTCGTTAGTTAGGACTTGTGTTTGGTTTTGTGGTGTATGTAGCCATGGTACATGGCTGAGAGAATATGTTTAATAATTGCACTTGTCAGGGTAATTAGCTTTTCTGTTTGGATTTGAAAATGCTCTCTGGAAAAATTGCAGTGTGCTTGATGTAACTCCACCAAGCACAAATTAAATAATTTGAAGATGGTATGCTGGGTAGTATATGAATTGTTACAGTTTTTGAAGTTAAATTTTCCTCACAAAATTCACCAATGCTTGCTTAACTTTTCCAGGCAAAAAGTCATACTGCTCTTTTTTTTTTTTTCATATGTAGGTGCAGCTGGGCCAAGCGGATATAAAATGCCCCATCACGGAGTGCAGCGAACACCTGGATGAAACAACTGTCCTCTATAACCTGCCCCATGATGACATCATCAAGTATAAATACTTCCTGGAACTCAGCCGCATTGACTCCAGCACCAAGCCATGCCCTCAGTGCAAGCACTTTACAACCTTCCGGAGGAGAGGCCACATTCCTACCCCTGCCAAATTGGAGAACAAATACAAAGTGAGCATGCTTGCCGGGGCTGTGGGTTAGATGACACTGCAAAAGTAGGACAGCATTTGGTGAGCATTAAATGAACTTTTTTGTTTCACTGGAGCTGTGTGCAAGCTGTGATTAGGAATGTGAACCTGTAGTACATTACTGATTAAGTACTTAATTGACTTTTAACAGTTCGAGCAGCTGAACTCTTCAGCCTATATTTTTTTTGGTATGTGGCATAATTTTTTCCTGACATACATTTTAATTTAAGGAGTGTTTTCCTTCTGACATGCAAACAATATGGTCACAGTCAGAAGAGGCTGGGAACGGGGAGTTACCACTACAACCAATAATTTTCGGCACACAACTTCAGAGTTTTCCTTGAAACTCTGGGTGAGTGAATTCTGGGCACCTATGGTGTTAGGCTGTTGGCTTTGCTTCTTCCTTGGTAATACTGTCCCGCTTGTTGATTCTGATTTCTTCATTCCCTTATCAGAGGTTATACATTACTGTAGTCTCATCATACACAATGCAGAGAAATAGAGTGGTGGGAAAAAACATTTCTACAGCATATCTTTTCATAGAAGAGTTACTTTTACTGTCATTTTAATCAAAGATAAAAAGCAAGAATTTGGAATAAGCTTTGAGCTGTTGAAAGTCCATCTAAGTTCCAGGAGGCAACAGTGGTCTGCAGCACCATGTTCTGTGATAATTTTCCGTCCGGTTATTAGATTTGTTGTGGTTAATTTCATGATTGAGCTGGCCTTTCCTGGACAAACCAGTTCTCCTCAGTAGGAGTTTAGATGACTGTTTAGATAGCCCTAATTACAAAGTGTAAGATTCAGCCCAGTATGAAGATTAAAAGGTGGAAGGTTGTGTATTCATTGGACTTGAAAGGTTGGCAAAGCTAATTCTAAGTTGCGCGTATCTGTGTAGGGCATGAATTACATGCCACACTCTGTTGGACTCAGTGTTTCCAAATTTTTGTCATCTTACATTGAGGTGAAAAAAATCTGAAACTGCAAGTAAAATTCCTTCTGCCCAAAGCTATTCTCCTTCACCCATCTGCTTCATCATCAGCACACATCAGATGTAACCTAGGGTAGATCAGAGCTTGTAGTGCTTTGATCAGAGTTTGTAGAGCCTCCTCTCTTAAGGTGTCAGAGGCTGTTAGTGTCCCACAAGTGTGGGTCATTGGTGGTGCAGCTGTTGTATCACAGGCCTGCCAGATCTGAGAACATTCCTCAGGGCACAGCCAGTGCTCTTTTATGAGTTAAAATGCTACAGTTGAAATGTTCCAAACTGCCCTACAAACCACAGTGGGAAAGAATGAGAGACTGTGTGATGCGTGGTGCAAGCCAGGAGCAGTTCACTGGTCATGTGGTGGTTCAGTGTGTGTACCTGTGATCTGCAGAGCTTAAATCTCCTGGCAACAGACTCAAGCAAAACGTATCCTTTGAGCTGAGCTCAGGTGTTGTGTGCAAGAATGTCTAGTTTATGCTAGTCAGAAATATAATTGGGAAAATGCTAGCAAGCAGTATGGATGATCATGGTCCACAGGGCTTCAGCATATTCCTGGAACCTCAACTGTTTTCTAATGTAGGTACAGTTCTAGTGATTTGTTTTAAGCTTAGCACAAGGAGAAGTTTTATTGCAGGGAGAAGGTTTAAAAAGATTACTGTTATGACATGGAGTATATGTGATTAATTTACATAAACACATAGCTGTGGACCAATATTACCTCTTTTCTTAGGTTCTCATGTGATTACATGTACACATTGTGTCTTGTATTTTAGGCTGTTTGGAGGTGAAGACACATTTTCTTTTGTGTATAGCATAGGAGACGTCTGACTGGAGGCTTTTGAGGCTGCCCTATTCCTATGCAAGTAATATAAACAGCAGTTGCACCAGATGAATTCTGCAGCAGCACTGCAAGTGTTGGCTTCAAGAGAGCTGAGTTGAGTGGGGAGCACGTATGCACAGGCCTACTGGTAGGATCACAGCACAGCCAGTACACTCACTCTTATACACTGCAAGGGGAAAGCACTCTAAAATCCAAGACTTTATTTGAACTGATGCTTTAAAAATGTTAATGCCATTTCTAAAATTTTATGCAGTATTTAAAATTATAAGTGACATGGAAATTCAAAGAGGCAGCAAAGTTATAAATTAGTTTTTCTTATTATAGCTGATTTGTGTCAGCTAAGCTGATCTAGGTCCAGCAGTTCAATTGGCTGAGATTCCAGTCTTGGTGTACTAAGCCTAGAAAGTTAACAAGTATGTTGAGGAAGGAGAAGGGGAAGAAAAGGAGAACTTGCTTATCCAAACCTTTCTTCTACTATTAGTGCCACTTAGGGCCACACAGAAGAGCAAGAGAACTATTCCGTTTTCTATATAAAATATTTTTGTCACAAATGGATCCAGCATTAACTCTGAAAATGTCCTTGCCCTCTCTCATATGTCCTGAATTGAGAGTGTAATGTGGTTGCAGACAAGACCCTAACAAACCTTTGTTCAGAACTGTTATGCAAAAGAGCAATGGAAATAGGCAAACATTGAAAAATTGCTGGTTGAGTTCCTGTGCATGGAACAGGTAAAGGTTTCGCAAGAGTGAGTAAGAAGACTTGTTTTGTGAGGAAGCCCTGGCTTTTGCCTGTTAGAGTTAGTTTTTTGACCTGCCACTTGCCCTGGAGAAGGAATACTCTGCTCTGTGAGATTCATAATGAAGTTTTCTTATTCACTTCTGTCAAGAGATACATGTCACGTAAAAGGAGAACTTGAGTGCTTGGGTTTGAAAATGTAAATGGTTTTTCAATGCAGTTGTTACACAAACTATCTTTTTTTGAACTTCTAAAGAGTTTCTGAAAGCCGTTCTAGAACTAGCAGGAATTTGTACCAGCAGAGATGCTTTGATCTGTTAGCTCCCCACTTTCAGGTCAGATTTTAACTTTAAGTGGCAGATATCTTCATGGCTGTGCATCACTTCAATCTACCTTGAGCCTCGGCTGCTGCTGATGTGGTGATTTTGCTGTGCTCTCCCTCTTTCTCTCAGCAGTTCATTCCTGACAGCCTGCTTTTGCTTATGTTGATGCTTTGATGTCACACTGGGAGCTGGATCAAAGATCTGCCCTAATGGGGTACAAAATTTGTTTGTTTTGTTGTTGCTTATTTTCAGCTGTTTCAAGAGAGGGGATGGGTTGATGGTGACGAGAAGGAAAATGTTTTGACTGGAGCCCATATTTATTTTCAAATAAAGTGACAGTGTCTGCAGCTATGAGACTGTAATTCATGTAATCAGTTAATTGCATAATTAATTTGGCCATCCTGTTATATAACTATATATAACTACTGTTCCACCAAGCAGCAGAAATCCCACTAAGCTTTTTGTAAGGTTATAGGAATATTTTTATGAGCAGTCAGTTTGGTTATCATCAGGTCAGAGTTGTGTTTTGTGTTGAAATTATCTATCAGTTTTGAAAAGTCTTTTCCTGTGAGGTGAGGAAACTGATAGATAAAGTAGCTTGCAGTAAAGAGGCTTGCTAAGAAAATGGAAAATGTTAGCCTGAAAGGTCACTGTTTCAGAAAGCTGAGAACCAAAAGAGTTAGAACACAAAATTGTGTAATCTTTTCTATTTCAAGGGAGGCTGATCTCCAAGTGGCATAGAAGTTTGTGTATATATCCATTCTCTCAATTTTAATCAACAGAAATAGAAATCATAAAATAAGTGGGGAAATGTTTGTGTGAGAAAAAACATATCTGAAAAAACACAAGGTTAATGTTTTGTTTTGCATATATAGTTTGTCTGCTTTGCTGGACCATAATATATTTTACTGGTTTAAAATCATATGTAGATAGCATTTCTGCATCCTTGCTATGGTGATTTCATGCATAACTACTAAAGCATGAATCAAATAACATTTGACTTTCTTTCAGAAAAGCAGAGAAAAAGTGGAATAAGAATGTGAAAGACTGCTTTAATTGCCCTGTTCTGTTTGTTTCTTAAGCGCAGGGGCATCACATTGCGTCCAAGTTTGAATGGTTTTAGGGTTTTTTTGCAGGTACTAGTTCCAAGAAAAATAAGATTCATAAGTACTTGAGGTACGTAGTTTTCTTTGTTTGCTTCAGCATTGAACACAGAGAAGTGATATGACCCATTCAAAATATAAAAACTATTTACAAGTTCAGTTTTGAGGAAGGTGCTGTCAGGATGACAGGTGGAAGAGGAAACTGGTAATGAAACATAGAGTTCTCACTAGTTCAGTTAGGGCCATTTGTGGTAAGAAATGTTATTTTGAGTTCCTGTGGCTATAGCTTCATCCTGTATTTCAGTACTTTCTGATTAATGTATTTGGAAACACCTGATATCAGTGTGTGTGTATAAATTTAAATACATATCCTGGCGGCTGCTGCATTGCTTTTGTGTATGTACATGCTATAATGAAAAGATAGAGAATGCAATTAATTTGTCAGATATTCATCAAAAACAAACCAAACAAAAAAACCAACCCAACAGAACTTGTGGTTTAAATTATGTTGCCTTTTTTTAAGGAAGAAGCTTTAACTTTCTGACCTGTTGATTTGGGTTTGTACTTGTTAACAACTGTGTTCTCTCTCAAATGTCTGAATACTGCAACTGATAAAAGTTTTCAGGTTGTAAAACATTGACTTGAGGCTACAAGCTCCATCTTTGGCTGAGGCATAACAAATACTGAGCCCTTCAATATGATGCTTGCTATAATCTGTCTTCCCAGCAGTAGGACACTGACTTGTGTTACTGAAAGACATAAATTCAATGCAGGGAGGAAGTAGGGGACAAAAAGGAAAAAAGAAAGGTAGATGTGGGTTAGGATAGGTTAGATGACTGTCTTGTGCATATTGGTTTTTAATGTATTGTGTAAACATTTATTAGTGTTCTGTGTTAGTATGGTTAGTAGAAATATATATCTATCATTCTCTAGGTTCCTCAGAGCAGGAAATTTCCTTTTTGTTAAGCTGGTTTTATTAGGAGAATTCATCTCCTAAAGGGAAGCAGAGATGCAAGTTAGTATATTTTCGTTGATTCAGCGTATTGGCCACTGGCTCATTAGATTTTGAGAAAGGACACTATTTTGTGTTGCTTTTGTTTAATACTTTATCATGGCCTTGGACGAGTTTTCAGGTAGAAACTAACAATGTTTGTAATCCACATGTTTCAGTCCTAATCTTGTTTCTCTTTAAACAAGATGCAGTGATTGCATGTGTAAATAATTTTGGCTAGTCCCAGCAAAATATGTAAGGGAGATCAGAGCACCTACTTTGGACTCTTAATTGTAGTCAAGGAAGCATAACACCAGTTGTCATGACTCAACAGGAGGGCACAGCTCCTTGTAGGAGTGAGAACTTGAGAAATATGTTTTGGGGACTTCACATGTGACTGCACTCTATCATGTAGTTTCCTGAGAATCACCCCAACAACATGCATGGTCAGCACAGATGTTTCTATGGTTTGGTGGTGAGCCAAGTCTGGACACAGATATAGCCAAAAACACTTGGTTTGGCTGGTTGAATTCCTCAGTCCCATCCATCAGCTGGGTACAAAGCCAGGGCAGTGCCAGACATGGACTGCAGCTGGAGGTGGTGGACAGGGCTCAGTGGTTGCTTGAGCAGCTGAGATGTTTTGCTGCTGAACACAGCAGAAATGAACATGTTGCAGGAGCCTGGATGTGCCTGAGTCTAAAGTGTCTTCTAGTTCTTGCTGTCCTTAGTCATGATCCAGATTGGAGGCCTGTTTCATCAGATAAGCAGCTGCAATGTGCCTCTGTTTATTACTCCTGCAAACACAGCAGCTGCCTTAGCTTTTCATTAAAAAAAATAAGCAGGCTGTAGAAGAAGACGTGATGATGATGGTACCTGTTTGACACAATGATTTAAAACTGAGGGAGAGGAAAAAATAGATCCTTTCTCAATTTGAGTATGGCTTGTGGGTTTTGCCATTAGGTGTGGTCTGTAGCAAGTGGGCTGTTTGGCACAGGCTCAGCTTGCCTTGACGCAATCAAGAGCAAAAGGAGGTGCCTGACTTCCCGTTGGTAGTTGTGGCTCTTGGATGAGAGCCTTGCTCATGGCTCCTTTTCCCAGGACCATTTCTAATGTAAGCTTTATAACCCATACGAAGTCGAGGTCTGTAGGGCCCCTTCAGAAGACCAAGTACATTCTGTAAAAGCCTTGGCAGTGCAGTTCATTCCTAGAGAAAGACACATCCACTGCACTGAAAACTGTCAAGCTAATTTTCAGGTGTTTTCACAAGTTTATTGGAGGTAATTGAATAAGTTTTCTGGATTCTGCCTTTTGTCAGTTGAGCCACACAATCACTTTGGGAAGTAGTGCCTGTGATTAAGCCAAGCTACTTGTGCTTCATTTGATTGAGGCCTTTCCCAGCTTTAGCAATTTCTTCTGTATTTTACCTTTTTTAAAAAGGAAAAGAACAAGCTAGCTTCCACAACTTCTTGTGTTTTTAAAACAGAGCCCCCAAAAGATGTTAGATCTTTGCTGGACAGCTGCTCTTGTAATTGAGGAGCACTGGTTTTAAACAGGCTTTCTAGTTGTATCAGCACCCAGCTTGCAAACATGTGGTGTTTTCTCATTTATACAGATCCAGTGTCCATCTTGCCAATTTGTCTGGTGTTTCAAGTGCCACTCTCCCTGGCATGAAGGCGTTAACTGCAAAGAATACAAGAAGGGAGACAAGCTGTTACGTCACTGGGCCAACGAAATCGAACACGGGCAGAGGAATGCCCAGAAGTGTCCAAAATGCAAGGTGAGCTGCTCTCCCTTGGCTTGCAGGTAGTGGTTTCAAACTGTTCAACTATACATTTAAAATAAATACTCATAGATTCTGCTCAGCATTGGAAATTAAATTCACACATGCTGTGCAGTTTCTTGTTAATGACCCATTGAGAAAAACAGGTCAGATTTTTTTGCTGGTTCCTGTACTGATTCTGCAGAGTGTCTGCATGTAAAGAAACATTATGGAAATTATTAACAGGGGGTTTTGATGAATCATAGAAATGTTTGGGTCAATTAATTACAAAATAAATTAATCCTAAAATAAAGCTTTAAAGAAATGGAAAGCTTTAGGGAAATTCAGTGCCCTTTGTCAGGTTTTCCAGAGAGTTTGAGTGTATTCAATGTCTGAGTAAGGCTGGAAATACTCTGTCAACAAGTTAACTAAGGGAAACTAAGACTTGGCAAAACTGTAAGTTTTGTAGGATTGAATGTTACTACTTCACAAGCTGTACCTTGAGGTGGGACTTCACAGGCCACACCTTGTCCAGTTCTGGGCCCTTCACTTCAAGGAGGACATTGGAGGTGCTGGAGTGAGTCCAGAGAAGGACAACACAGCTGGTGAAGGGTCTGGAGCACAAGTCCTGTGAGGAGTGGCTGAGGTCCCCCCTGGGCCTCCTTTTTGACTTGGAGAAAAGGAAGTTCGGGGGGCACCTCTTCACTCTCTACAAGCACCTGAAAGGAGGATGTAGGCGGTGGGGGTTGGCCTCTTCTCCCAGGCAGCCAGTGACAGGATAAGAGGTCATAGCATCAAACTGCAGGGGAGGTTCAGACTGCACATCAGGAGGAATTTCCTTGCAGAAAGGGTTGTTAAACATTGGAATGGGCTGCCAGGGAGGTGATGGAGTCACCAGTCCTGGAGGTGTTCAAGAAATGACTGGATGTGACAGTGCCATGGTCAGGTGACAAGGTGGTGATCAAAGGTTGGAGTTGATGATCTCAGAAGTCTTTTCCAATGTGGATACTTCTCTGAAGTCTTTCTTATTATTAATTTTCAACACTGAAATGCAGTTCTACACCCTAAAAATGTCAACAATCCCTTTGGAGAGAGGAAGTACTTCCCACTACACAGATGAGATGCAACAGCCCTGCAGACCCCTGCACCAGTTGCCCTTAATGAAGGCCACTCTTAAATTGGTTCAAAATTTTTTTCACAGGTACCAACAGAGTAATAAGTCAAAGCTGGACTGGTTTGTAGAAAATAAATATTGAATGGGAAGATTACTTATAAGCATACAAAGCATATGTAACACTTTGAGCCTTACACTGTGCAAATAAGAAAATGCTCATCAGGTTACTAAGTGTCATATTTTCGTCTTTGAGAAAGAAGTGCCTGTGATGCCATAGCTTGAAATTGAAAGATTTCAAAATACTGAGCAAAATTGTAAAGCTCTGAAATCAGCAGCTGGTTGTTTACCCTTCCTCCTGCGCACATGTGGCCTTTTAACAGAGTTTTTGCAGCTTGCTTTTTGGTAAAAGTTGATAGATTTGAGTCAGTTCCAAAAATGTTCACTTTCTGGGAAGTCTTTAAGTAAAATACTTTGTTCCTTTCAGAGCAGGAAGAAGTATCTGTTTTGATTTTAATTGTTTGACTTGTGTCAGATTTTATGACAATGGGAATGAGGTAACTTAAATAAATCGTCCAAAAGATTAAGTGGACCAAGCAAAAAATATATTAATGTGGAAAACCAGGAGTGGTAAGAAGGCTGATAGCTGGAAAGAAAAAGGAACCAAAACTAAGTCTAACATTAAAACTGCTAAGTCTAACATTCAGCATGACTAAGTTAAAATTTAAAATGCCATGTTTAAATATTCACCATCTTCAAAAGAAAAGGCTGGACACTTGAAACTTACATGGCTTGTTACTAATTCTGAAGCATGAAGTTGCATGAATTTGGCTGCTAATTTAAAAAATACTTGAGGTTTCTTTTCTTAATCAAAGGAAAATAAAACCTCCTACATGGTGGGAGGCAGTATGGAAACTTATGAAACTAGCACAGAAGAAGAACCTCTGTTAAGTCCTTCCTGGTAATGTGGCACTGTAAGTGAATATTGAGGAGGGAATTCAACCTTTTATTAAACTGTGTTGCTACCCCAACTCTTGGTACTTTTTTTTTTTTTTTCAGAAAAAAAGTTCTTCCTGCCTGCAATGTCCAAAATGTTTCTCTCAACATACTGTATTTAAATCAAATCTATAACCTGAAAGTATCAAAAGTACCACTTAGCTGGCAGTTAGTTCAAAAAATACATCTTTGGGTAGTTAAAAAAATACATCTTAAGCAGTATTCTTCAGCAAATCTTTAGTAGGTGTTTGGGCACAGAGAGAAGCATTCTGACAGTTAACAATTTGAAGTCAGGGGGATTAGATCTAATGCTTCTCTGCCTCTCTTTCCCATCCATCCCTCCCTCCAAAACCTGTATATAAAATAACATTGAATCAGATGAGAATCCTATTTCCAAATAAAATAAAGACTGACAAAGAAAATAATTTGTAGCACACTATTTGATTTATCCATGTTCTAGCTCCACAGAAGCAATGTTTCTGGTGAAAACCTACTTTATTTTTAGCATCTTTCATATTTTGCTTTAAAATTTGCAGCAGCCAAAATTGGCAAAGAGATTGAGGGAGTCAATGTTAAATTGTGTCTAAAGATACTAGTATTTCATCTTTACGCTAAAACTGAAATGAATGGAAATTAAAGGTAGAAACTTAAGTAGAGGTAGTTTCTTTACTGAAGTAATATGTAAAATTCCTGGTAACTTCCAAAGTGTGATACTGATTACAGTGTAAACTGTGACCATATTTTGCAGATAGCTTCTGGAGATAATTATTTATACCTACACATACATACATACACTGACTCTTTTTAGCTGTACCATGGAGAAATCAAATGCATTATCTTCCCTGGGCATGCAGGTGAGAAAATCAAAACACACGTAGGGGTATTGTATACAGAAGCAGATCCTCAGGCAAATACAAGTATTTCAGTGGTTTGGGTAAGTGATTTGAAAGAACATAAGCCTTTGTAATGTCAGTATAGCAGGGACTGTTAGATAAGCTTAAACTTGATTGCTTTTTCCTGTAGGAGGATACAGCTTTTAGGACATCTAATAGACATCGCTTATATTTACCTGGTCTCTCCCAGATGTGTTTACGTAAGATAATAAAAATGTTACACACAGTCCAAATGCTTAATCATAGATTTATGTTATGACTGTGTGTCAGTATGGAAGTATGGAAAAAATGCTACTTTTTTAAACTATATCTTTAATTTATTTTGACTTTTATTTCTTAATACAGCCTTTTCCAAATTTACTATACACTGTTTTGAGAGTCAGTATAGACCATTTTCCTCAAGAAGACTTGTCCAAAAAGTGCTGGTCTTGTTCTAGAGTAAGTTGGCTAATAAGTGCAAATTTGCTACATTATTGGATGTCATTTGCCAAAATTTATAACATTATTTGTATTTTCCCAGTACTATTTTAAGGGGTTATTTTTTTACAATTTCTTGGTATGTTTGCAACAAAATGCTTTTGTTTACACAAGTGTTTTTACAGTACAGCAAACTGAGGAAATACTCCATGTTGGTGCTATCTTACCACAAATTTCAAAAGCAGCACTGTCTCGGAAACACCCCATAGCAGCTCTAGGTTAGAAGGCTTGGAACAGCAGCAGAAATTTAAAAACAAGCATGTCAATGCAAATAAAGGAGCCTGTAATTCTTATCTGTTCTGATTCATATAGGCATTATCAAATAATTCAGGGCGTAGTTTTTGGAAGCACTCTGCAAATTAATTCTCATCTTCTGGAGGGAGGAGAGTCCTTATTTGTATACAAAGTGATAAAGCTGTGCAGGTTTTCCTCAGAGGTGGAGGAGACATGGCCGCTCATCCTTAGAACTCTTGGCAGTGATTTCCCTAGCAGATTTCTATGAGAGGTCATGTGACATGCGGAGTGGGTAAAATGAGGTTCTGAAATAGCCACTGTGTTACTTCAATTGTCTACTTAAGACTCCAAACTGGATGTGCTTGCCCTTGGTGTGTAGTTTTCACCCCTGTTGTTCTGGAAGCTGTTCTTGGGTTTCTGAATGGCTAACCTTCCCCTGTAAGGTGAGCGTACATCTTTGAACAGGCTGTGGGTGCAGGATGAAGCCTGTAGCTGTGACTGAATGCATGGAGGCAGAAGCTGGGCTTGTAGTGGCCACACTGCAGGGGAGCCTGAAGTCACACAGCAGCACCGGGCCCCCCAGCAGCATTCCTAGCCCCACGCATTCCCCTGGCTGCCTCTTGTGCGCCATGGTGCTGCCAGTGGGGCAGGAACACTCATGATATCCGAGCCATCAGCGATCACTTTCTCAGTCTATAGGTTTGTAATCCGTCTCTGTCAGTGGATTATCTGGAGGGCACGGAGGCATGCCCGTGTGAACCGGAGATGAAGTTGATCTGGTGAGATGTCATGTCTTAGTCTTGAAAGCAGCCTGACCAAATGATACAAAGTTCACCTGGCATTGTCAGTCTGCAAAGCATGTGGTAGGGAGTTCAAGCCCTGCATCTGAGGTTCGTGGGGTTTTTTACTTTGTTTTTTCTAATCAAGTCTTTACTCACTGGAAAAAAGGAGTTTTTGCAATAGAAAGGTATAGGCGTGTACAGCTGGTTGTTCCAGATTAGCAGCATTGGAAGACAGTTATATGTGAAGATGAGTATTGACTAAAATATTTTTATGGTTGGCTTTTTGAAGGAGCAAATATGAAGTGCATGTAGTTGCAGTATTAGTCTGCAAGATAATAAATTCTTATCAACTTATTTCATGTTTCAAGAGGACAGTATGTTTGGAGAATTCGGGGCAGGAACAACTAGATAGATAAATAATTCAGGAGTAATGCATGACTAACTGGAGCTGGGAGGCTTCTAGGAAAGCATGGGTAGAAGGATGGCAGGCAGTTTCTAAGAGGTGGTTATTTCTGATATGAATGGTAGAATATAAAAGGCTGTTGCTAGCATCTCCTTGAAGTTCTTACTAGCAATAAAAATTACCTTATTTTTGGAACGTGAAGGAATTTTGGTTTGCATCTAGGATTTTGTATAGGTTCCGTGATTCTACAGAATTACAATGAGGATGAATGATAATTGGGTTGGTAAATTAGGGAAGAGAGAGGAGTATTCAACAGTCTTGATTCAAAAAGAAAATAAAGCAACCAGTTAATTCTCATTAGTCACAAAATCTAGTTCCCTCATTTACATTTTTAAGATGGAATCATCACATGAGGAAAACTACCCTTTAAATTACAAAAGTCTCTATAGTTGCTATCTGAGTTGGTCCCCTGAAAAATTAATTTTAATTACATTTTAAAATTATTTTGTCAAAATACTTGAAGTCACTATTAAAATACCTTCGTTTCACTTCAAGTTAATCTGAGGAATTACAGTAAATAAACTGTGATTCCAGAACTGGAGTCAACATCTGTTTTCACATGTAACCCTAGAAATAAGAATTTGAACTGGCAATGTAATGTCCCTTTTAGGGAGAAAAAAAAAAAAAAAAAGTGTGTATCTTCTTAAGTTAGGCTTAAGTTGATATAATATTGGGTAGAGTTCTCTTTCTGCTTTGCCTACTGTCAGTGCTTAACTGAAAGTTTTGAAGTCAAGTGGCTTATAAAGCTCATCAGCAGTGGTGTTTTTTCAGGTGCTCCTGGAAAACAGGACACCTGTAATACAGCAGAATTCCTTGGGGTAAAGGGGGATGTTTGCTCAGTCAGACAAATTTTAAGTCTTCTAGAATACTTGCCCACTAGAAAGTGGTTTTTTTTAATAGCTCATTTCTCTCATTTGTGAATATTTTCCCCTCTTTTGTATAAAAGCAGTGTTTGAAAGTAGAGAAAAGCAAATCCTGAGATCACTACTGAGATTGGCACAGGGGTGCTGGCGGGTGTATCTGGAACTACTGTTACCCTTATGGCTCTTTGTTACATGGATAGAGTGCCAGTTTCAGTAGATGTTTGGGCGAGCAAGCTGAGAGCTCAGATCACCCTAATCGACACCAAAGAACAAATGCATTTGACCCTCTCAAAAAATGTCAGATACCCCAGGAGTCATGAGATTCTCTGGAGCTTGCTGAGCTTTCAGTGCCTCTGGTGCTTGCAGGGCCACTGAGTGGTCATGCCATGTCTTTGCATGTACCTTCCTGCGAAATAAATACGCGTAGGTAAGTATAGGAGATTTCAGGAGGCATTGATTTCTCTGTTGCAAGTTTCAACAGGTGAAATTCAAATCGGATGTAATGGAAAAAAGTATTCCCAGGGAGGATGGTGAAGCATGGTATAGAATGCTCAAAAAGGCTGTGACATACCCATGCTTGGAAATTTTTTTAATCTAATGAGATGAGACCTGGAGCAATGCGATCTGTCTGGAGTTATCCCAGCTTGGAGTTAGGGGTTAAAATAGATGACCCCTGAGCATCACTTTCAACCTCAGTTATTAGGCTATTTACTGTTCCACTGTGGAATGTGGTCTTGGAATGCAAGATAGGGAACTATTTAGCAGGCAATTGGTAGAAAGATGGCTGTAGAGCTAGGTCAGCCCTGTTTCGTGCTGTGCTGTGGGTATCATGAAAGCTTGGTGTAAGTTTTTATTCCACGTATAGTTTGTGGCATTTTTTTTGTTTGCTTTTTTACAAAGGAGAAAGTATTCATACTTCTCAAATCATGTACTGTAACAGCAGTGCCTTTCTGGTGTTTATTACAAAATGCCAGACCAATTTGTGATGGAAAAGGGAGTGGAGCCACAGGTGGCCTAAGAGGGAAACCCATCTGGGGAGGGGTCAAACAGAGTTCATAACTGTATTCACTGTGTTGCTTTTATTTTTAGCAAAGTTTGGTGCTAACATATCGACTTCAGGAATAAAACCAAAATTTCAGTAAGGGCAAGAATTCTCATCTGATATGAAGAGCATTTAAACAAAAAAGGAGTATTATGTAGGAAATGAGAATCTGGAAACAATAGAACTCACATTTAATGCTCTGAAACATGCCTCAGAAAACTATTACTGTCTTAAGCCAGCTGCAGTATTAATTAATGCAAGTAGTGACTTTGCAGGGGGTTGCTTGCAGCTTCTTTTCATCTGGCGCATGAACTGCCCCAGGTAACGCCCGCTTTCCTGTGCTTAGGAAGGGGGGAAAAATAATATTTCTTCTTTCCTTCTGCTCATACAGATCCACATCCAGAGAACCGAAGGGTGTGACCACATGACCTGTTCACAGTGTAACACTAATTTCTGTTACCGTTGTGGGGAGAGATACCGCCAGCTCCGCTTCTTTGGAGACCACACGTCAAACCTCAGTATCTTTGGATGCAAATACCGCTACCTCCCCGAAAGACCACATTTAAGGAGATTAGTGCGAGGCTCTGTCTGTGGTGAGTGGATTAATGCTCATTGTGGAGAGCTGCACAATGAAGTGATGGGGGCATAGGGCAATTATAGTTAAATTAAAACTAGTGGTTTAAAGGATTGGATGGACAACTTGTTTTTCAGTTATTCAAAAGGTGGCTTATTAAGTGTGTTTAAATATATGGCACTTTCCCTCCCTTTTTCGATGGAATGTGTATGATTAATTATTGTGTCCTCTTCTGATAGCATGTTTACTAATTTTTTTTTTATAATACATAAGCAAACTGTAAAAGTGCTGTCAATATGCATGTCGCTGGCTGTGTTTGTTATTCTCAAGGTATATTGGAGAAATGGGTCAGAGGAGAAACCTTATTTAAATTAACCTTGGTGTAAGTCTGTTTGAATAAAGTGCTCTTTGGATTTGAACCTGATCTGAGTAGAAAAACTCAAGGTTTTCCCATATAAATAGGAGGACACTAACTGTTAGCTTTAGTTCAGATAAAATCAGCTTGAAACAAGATGATTTTAAAACAAGCTGATTTAAAACACAACTTATATACATTAATTTTGCTCACAAAAGTATGATGCTGAAAATGTGTTTTTATTAAACCAAAAGGCACTCATAATTTGCTTTTGAGCCAGATGGATATTTGTCTCAACCTATAGAAGCACAAGATAATAAAGTAGACTCTTATATTATGTGATGACTTTCATATATGTGAAATTCAGTTATTTTAGTGAGCTTACAGCATGTAAGGCAACCTATAATGTTACAAAAAACGGATGTATTAACTGTCAAAAAATGGGTATCTGTCAAGGAAAATAGAACTTTTCATATTTGAATTAAGGCATAAAAATTGGAGATGACTTGTAGTTCAACTAGGATGAGGAAATGCTTTGAGCTTGATTGTAGAGGTAAAGGCAAGAGACAGAACTTGTGGGAAAAAGCAAACCTGAGGTGAAAGCATTACTCCTGAGCCAGAAATGTTCCAGTAAGAAAACTAGGTGTTTCTAGAGTAACATAAGAATTGCACACAAACTCGTAGACCTGGTAATGAAAATGCCAGTCTTGCTGCTCTGCATTGTGGGGGATTTGCAAACCTGGAAAGCTTGTTTTAAAAAAGTGGCAGTATGGCATCCAAGCCCATTAGTTTGATCTTAGGAGCTTGCAAGGCTTTGGTAACAAACTTTGAGAGAAATGATTTAAAGATATAGAAATAACTAGAAAGGAGATAAAAATTGTAGGTGATTGGAAGTGTCTACTCTGAAACATTTTGTAGAGATAAGTTGGAACACACCAGAAGGTCTAGGCTAGATGAAAGACAGTGCTGGCATTAGGGCACATGAATATAAACATTCATTAAAAATTTAGGCTTAAATTTCAAGAACTGTTTCAAAGCACTTAGTAAGATTTCAGAAAAGCTTTCAGTAATAGCAACAATGGCAAACAATGTAAGCTTTTTTTAAATAGATCTTGTTATATCTGGTGTAATTAGTCTCTGCTGTAGCAACAGATTGCACTCTGAGACATTACCAAGTCAGTGCTGCTCATGTGCGGAATCATGGGTAACCTTTTTAGAATTATAGAATAGTTTGGGCTGAGAGGGACCTTTAAAGGCCACCTGCAATGAGCACGGGCGTCTTCAACTAAATCAGATTGCTCAGAGCCCTGTTCAGCCTGGCCTTGGATATTAAAGCTCCATGGTAAATATGTGCATGCCCATATTTACAGGATCACACATAGATAAGGTATAAGATATTTTTATTTTCATCTCCTATTTACAAGTGTACTTGTGGTTTGCATTAATTAATAAACCAAGAAAGATTAGCAAAGCTCAAAGCCTCAGATTACATTTATCATGGGGTTTTCTGTTAAAAATTTCTCTCCAAATCCCCCTCTGTCATACAATGTGGTTTCTCACAAGAATGGTCATCATCTGAATAGAGACAGAGGTGCCTGAATCTGTCAGCACATGTAATAAGTGCCCACATTTTTACCATAGCTTGTTAACTCTCAAGTTGACAAGAATTCAGAAAATTCTTTATCAGTACTTATGACCTTAAATCTCTGTCATTTCTACAGCTCTAGATTTGAATATTGATCCTGATACACTTTATGAATAACTATCAAAATACTCCAGAGACCTAACAGAACTCATACATGAAAATAAAAAATTAAAATCTTGAGAAATTTGCATCTGATTTGAATTTGGGAATTGAGCTCACAGCTCTTCTTCCATTGCAGTAGATTTTGGCTGTGACCTGCATGTATGAGCTAGTCGAGCTTTTTGTACTCTTTTCCACACAAGTGTACGTGTGGGTTTTCACATTGGTTTTTAATTGGTTTTCAAAAATTTGTTATATTGCTGTAAGATTGTACTTCCTGACCTTTTGAAGAAGGTATAATCCCAAACTGTGATACAATTTGTTTGCGGATTATGCAATTTTCAATGCTGGAAATTTGCTTGGATCTTCTATCTTTGTAAAACAGAATTCAACAGAATTGATCTGTGGCTGTTAATTGGGCTTGTATAAAGGTCTGCCTAATAGTCTGTCCCCAGTAGTGTCAATTAAAAATAAGATCTCACTTCCTGTTTGTTTCCAGTAATCATTGCTTCAGACACTTTCTTAGTTAAGGTTTGTATCTGAACTTTTGCTTTATAACCCTCAGTGGATGGATCCTTCACTAGTTTTAACAGTTCTTAAATTTTGGCTTCCACAACGTTTGTGATAGAGGCTCTAGGATTTCACTATGTGCCATTTGGATAAAGTACTGTGTTTTTTTTTAATTGATTCCTGATAATTTCATTGGCTACTTTTGTTATCATGAAATTTAGTAAATAATAATATCTTGCTAGCCTTTTCATATTGTTCTTTTATGCACCGTCCATCAGATTCTACTTTATCATGATATTTGATTTATTTTTTGTTTTGCTTGTGTTTTATGTGTTGAGCTGAAGCTTACTAGTCTTAATCACTTAAGATCAAATTTAAAACCCAAAAATGTTGAATTCCAGTTAGGGATCACACCCAGGCTCAGGGAGATCCAGTTGCTGGAGCTGAAAATATAAATATGTGAATACTTTATCAGGCAAAAGCGGAACATTATCATCAGTAGGTGTTACTGCAGAAGCCTGGGTTTTGGTTCGGTTCTGAAATTCAGCAGAAGAAAGAGATAGTAGTAGAGATGCCATTAAAAGCATAGACTCTACATTTTAGTAACATGTACTGAGACACAGGTTGGATTTGCTGTAGAAAAATGCCTCTGCTAGTTAGCTAAGTAGTGGAAACTGAAGGAATGTTATCTTGGCTATCTGGGAGACTGGTGAGGTGTGGCTAGATATGTGGGGGTTTCGTATGACTTTTTACTTTATTGCTGTGGAGAATAAATATTTTAATAAATGTGGTTTTATAGCCATGTGGAGTGAAGGTTTTTTGGGCTGGTTTTAAAATGTGGCTAGGTGGAATGTGTAAAAAGATCACTGCACGGCAGGCTGGCATGCTGTCATGGTTTCTGTTGAGGAACAAGTGCATACAGTCACAAACTGCTCTGCAGTAAAAATAAGGGAAAAGTATTTATGGCAGCATAATTTTAAACATACTTTTCTTCATCAACCAACTATTATGTAAAGGTGATAGTAATCACGGGGAGAAGAAAACCGGAGAACAGAAGTGATCTCTGACATTTCTTATCCTTATTTAGCCAGCATGGTTTTTAGAGAAACTGTTCTGTGACAGTACAGTGGATATATTACCCTAAAACCTGTAACTAAACCCAAAGTTATGCAAGGGAAAAGTATTCCTTCATGTTTCCTGAAATACTTTGCTATTTTGCAGAAGAATGTGGTTCTCTGTACCACAAATAAGGCAAACCCTCTGAGACACCTGCAAATACAGTTGTTGTATCACCACAAATGTCTGCATCTTCGTTCTGGGCCACCCAGAAGAGAATTTGTTACAATTAATTTGAGTGCAATTGTAAAAAGGTCCTGTTTCAATTGCTTTTTATTAAGTTCCCTTGAAAAGTAACTTTGGACAACAGCAAACTGGCTGTCATAGCCTACTGCTGAGATGACCACATGGGCTAACGACCCAGGATTTTATTCAGCTCTGAGACAGGCATTAGATTTGCTCTCTATGCTCTCAGTCTCAGAGCTAACAGACATTGGACAGTGCCTGCAGCAAGCAGCCTTAGTCTCAGTAACATTTCTTGGTGTGTCATGATTGCCTCATAATCTTTTGTGCTATGACAAATGATATTTATCAAACTGGAATTGGATATAAAGTAGTTTTCAATTCTGACATGTAAAACTGAGCATTTTGTAATTGTTTCATAGAATGCAGATAAAAACCATTGCAGCAAATAGTACATACCCGCTGCTTTGCCAGGGATTTCCGCTGCTTGTACTCTTCCTGATGGCAACATTTGCAAGCCTTGTTCACCTTTTGTTGTTTGTTAATTTTGGTTTACAAAGGTAGAGAAATATTAAGGATTTGAATGTGACAGATATACAAGTAGAAAAAGTATTTGTTTTGAAATTTGGTCTTTAGAAATAATGCATTCCTGACCAAAAGAAGATATGGTCTCACGATGATGAAGTCATTTTATTCTACAAGATAAATTATAAAAGATAACTACACAGTACTCGTAACTTGATATTCACAGGCAGGAAGAAAGACACTACTCGTGCTTTATTTCAACTCTGAGTTTGTCAAATGTAAGTGAACAAGTTCTTGAATTAGCTCAGGAACTGTTCTTTATGTCTGAAAAGAAGTTACTCCAATTGAAGGCTAGCTTAGCCCTTCCCATAGACTCTGTTTCTGCATACTTAGTCACCAGCTCATTGACTTAAGTTTTTAATAATTTTGGTGCCAAACATCATAATTTTCTAGTCTTCTAATTACATAGCTATTGATGAAGTAAGGAGTTCATACCTTAAGCATCTAATCTTTTACAAGCCTTAGTTGAAATTGTTGAAGACACTGGTAATGTCTTAAAAAGCTTTTAATTTCTTATTTTTGGACCTTTCTTAAGGTTTTCCATCACTTTACATTCATTCTTCTGTCTACACTTGAATAATGTATTTGACAAGTTCTGTGTGTATAGAACACAGCTCAGTGGAGTCCCAGGAAGGTATGCCATTAGGATGCCTAGCAACTAGAGTAATACAAATATTTGCCAATTTTTTTTCTTCTAGGAATTAATATTTCCCACCCACTGCACTCCCATGAAATTTAAAAGCTATCAAAACAGAGCAAGAAAAGGACCAGTTCATTTAACTGCTGTAAATATTTCCAAAATATCTTATTTTTCCTTCAGACTGCTCAAATTAGTGTCTCAGGTTATGGAAAGGTTTACATCATTATTGAATGTAGTAATCCTCTTACTGAAATCTGATATGAGTGACTTGAGGGAGGGAAGAGAGAGGTAACAACTCAATTTTTCTCCCATTTTAGAGGTGACCTTTCAAACACATACCTAACTTAGGGAATTGCAGAATTTCAGGTCCCTGCTCTTTGACGCAACTGCTCAGCAAACAGATCCAGGGAGATTGTTCTACTGAAAGCAGGCAGTGCAAGGAAGATAGCTTGGGTTCTGGTTCAGTTTCAAATTCACTTTTCCAGCAAGACCCCTGCCTTCACTGTGTGAACTTCTACAAATCATGAACTCATCAGAAAGTAAAGAATATGAACATGCTTTATTTGTTCTTGGTCTTATGCTCCAGGAAGTATGCTGCTCAACATCACTGCCCTACTTGTGTAAGAGCCACAACATATCCTTATAAACGTAGATCCAAAATAGACTTGGCTGTGGTTTGACTTAGACCTAAATCACAGCTGTACATGAGCACTTCACTGTAACCTTTTAAAGCAAGCAGAAATGTATTTAAAGGTGATGGTCTCATCACCTTGAGCTAACCTAAACTTTCCAAGATGCTGGTTTGCTTGGCCTCTCTCCAGGCTGGTTGCTGTGCAATAGGATTCCGGAGAAGCCAAATTATAGTAGCGTTACAGCTATCACGTTCCTGTCAATGCTTGAGGGATTTCAGAATGGAAACAGAAATAAATGCAAGCTGTTAATGTATGAAATAAGCTGTGCTCAGAGAGTTGTAGTGGGTGAAGAGGGCAGAGAGAAATGTGTATAGGGAGCTGACTGTGTGGTGATAATTGCTGGCTGAATTTGTAGGATGAAATTACAAATAGGAATCCTATTTTTAGAGGTAAAAAAATATTATTTTTAAAATAATAGATTAAAATATTTTCTGATATTCAAATATTTATGAATTGTTGGAAATTAAAAACTAAAAACTTCTTTGAACTATTTAATGAATTTTGCATTTCAGCTGGAAAACTACTCATTACACCCCTAATATTGGTTCTGGGACTGGCACTGGGAGCCGTAGCTGTTGTAATAGGTAAGAGTTGCATATGTGAAAGAAACTAATCCTGATTATGCAATGACTTTCTCTATATGACATCTCAAAGACACGGAGATAAAATACATATTTCACAGATGCTGTTTTAGTATTAAGCATATTATTTTTTCTAAAAAAAACGGGGTTTTTTAAATGTATGCTTACTAGCTTTGTTTTTATTCCCATTTGTTTCATTTTCCAAACAAACATCTTTAACTGCTGTAGATAAACTAGCAAAAAGTCCAGAGTAATTTAAGCATAATCCTGGGGGCTGACTGACTTGGACTCAGCCTTATAATCACCCCATTGAATCACAATTTTATAATCTCGGTCATTTGTATGACAGGATTTTTAGGGAACTAAGGCTTAGTCCCAAAAGCTCACCAGCTTGAAGCTGCAATAGCAACAAAGCAGCAAATTGGGATGAGTCAGTCTCAAAACATGATCCAGTGCGAAAGCTGCCAAATTGTATTCCATCACAAAAACTGGTACTCTGAACTCACTTGATTACAGTATCAAAGCTCTCTTACTGTGGTTGCATTAATGTGGACAGATATTTCAGCAAAGATGCTTTTTACTTGGCTTAGCTGGGTTTTCCCACAGAAAGGAGATTAGCTGTGACAACAAGGTATAATTTTGCTCACGTGAGTGCATATCCACTCTTTATGTTGGCAGCAATATGTCATTGAGGGATCATGCTGCTTCACAGCTTTTCATCAAACTGCTTATTCCACTGAGAATTTGCAGTGCATGCCTAGCCCTGCGGTATATTGGGGTGTGGCTCCTTTATTTTCATATAATAAAGCCAAAATACACCAGGATAGCTATATTAATAAGGCTGGAAGTAACCAGTCAACCTATAACCGAAATCCTATTACAGCTTTTCTAGACTACATCTGGCCAAATAAGGAATATTGCTGTATTTAGTTTCTGTATTTAGACCAACCGTCTTCACTTAAGAGTGAGCAGTGCTTATCTTAAATATTTATTCTATTCAAAAGCATTTTTATGCCAAAATTTTAAACAATAAAGGCTTCTTAGTGCCAGTAAATCTTATTTTGGTCTGCAATCTGGTATAATCTGTGGTGGGGGGAAAAAAGCCCACTTTTTTATATACTAAAAATTAAGAGGGTTTTGCAGTAATGTAATAACAGTATTTGCAATAATAATCAGAGTGCCATTGAAGTCTCATCGTAGGCTTGGCTGGATAAGATATGATCAAGGCCAGCAGTATGAGCAGTTCTAAAAACATTGATCAATTATAGAAAAACTTTGGTTTTGAGGTAATTAGAGCAATATTTGCTGCCAACCACTATTAGAGTAATTTCAGTTACATAGCTGATAACCATACTTCACCATTTACAAGGCTATTGAGCAAAGTAACAACCCTGTGATTGTAGTAGTCTTTTGTTCTATGTTGTTACTGTAGTGGTGTTTGAAAAGAAAATCTTTGGCCATTTCAGTCAGCTGGTAGCAAGAGAAAGAGGAAGATGCTTCTCGTTTGGGTTTGAAAGAGTACAGACTATTTGACAAATTGTTTTTCACTGGAATGATTTTTGTGATGTATTTATTTATTTTTGTCTTTACAGCTTGCTTTCTCTCAAATGACTTAAGAATAAATAGGTCCTTTTCCAGGCAAGGATAAACACTTGATATTATTAAAGATAAACATTTGATATTACTTAACAGTAGATGAGGATGCTTGTAAAAATAAATAAAAAGTAAAGCTATAACATGCTGTCTCTATTGCATGTGAATCTAATTGAAAAGTAGCTTAGTTACATCAGCTTTGAATTTAGATCTAAGAATTTCCAGAGTGCTTTTAAAAGTTTTGTTTGTACTGTATACCAAACAGCACGATTCAGAAATTAATTTGTCAGAGGTGAGTGTAGGGTTAGCAGGAATTTGTTGTAACAGCAAAGAGTAAGTGTAGCTTAACTCATTATCAAAGACACTGGTTGTTGCAGGCTAGTATTTTTTTCTACTTGTCCAAATGCCTGGTCTAAATTCTCCTGAGTCATGAAAAGCTCCATCTGAATACATATATCTAAATAACCTAACACATGCACAAAATATTGCATTTAATTATGTGTTTTTTTCATGTTTCCTTCTTTTGGCAGGTTTATTTGTGTTTCCTATCTATTGCCTTTGTAAAAAGCAGAGGAAAAGGTCACGGACAGGTATGCCCTGGTGAGGACGGACATTACTCGCCTGAACTGAGCTGGTCCTGCAAGGGCTATCCGTGTTTTGTGCAACAGAGCAATACAGTGCTGGTTACAGCATCAAAGCCACCGCCCCGGAAGAAGGATGGGGGCTCTCCTGCCATCTTCCCTCAGCTGAAAACACTACTGCAGACCAGAAAGCCTCTTTGCTCTGGTGCACTCTCAACAAGATGGGCCCCCTGACTGCTGCTTTTTAAATGTTTTTGGTTTTGTTTTGTTTGTTTTTTTTTTTTTTAGTTATTACTTTGGAGGGGTTTTTTTGAGTCTAAGTTTCTGAACCAGACAATCCAAGTCTGTATTGTAGCCACAACTCTACTACCGATTTGGCCTGTGAAGAAAGCATTTAACTGCTAACATGTGCTCGTTTAACTTCAGTGTCGGCCTTTAAGGTGGAAATGCTTAGAAGTGTTTGGACTCTTACTGTATACTGAGCATACTACTTTTGGTATTAAAAACTACTTCTGTAAATAACTTCCATCACACAGCATTCTGTTCAGCATACCAAAACCCCATCACATGCCAGAGCACGACAGCTGGTTATCTTCTGAGTCGTCCTGCTAGTGGAGTGCACATTGCCACCGCCAAACTGCAGTGCCTCAGAGGGAAATACCCTTAGTATTGAAGCGCCGTGATAGTTAAGAATATGGTGATTGGTTTCACTTCAGTAATTTATTTATGACAGTCTATTAATATTAATGGCAGAGGGTATGACAAGATTTCTTACAACAGGACTTAATTTTTAAATTCTCACAGTGCAGAAAAAAAATCTGAAGGGTTTAGATAACAATATATGTTAGTGGCCTAATCTGTCCCAAGATATCCCTGAAATGTGTCTTCAGGGAAGCTGGAAACCTGCTCTTTTTATTCTGACCTGAAATATGATATACATGCTACACACTACCTGTGTGAGGATTGACTTGATGAAATTTTATAGCCTAAATAGCACATTTTGTTTGTTTGTTCCCTTGAGTAGGCTACTACTACATGAGTCTTGGAGTTTCCACTGATGTCTTACAAGGAAAATCTGTGAATCCAGGGTAAGGGAAGTGATCATAAATTCTTAGGAGACCACTTCATTCTTATTTTCTGCTTCCAGTGTTTCTCTTCCTGGCGCATGACAGTTCTGAAGAGAATAGCTATCTTTGCTCTTTTTTCCTTAAGTTCAACTGTTTGTTACCAAACCTCTTTCTCAGTGCATCACAACAAAAGCAATGTAATTCAGCATAAGGAGTCAATTACTGAGAATTTTTACACTTTTAATTTTAATCCAAATCTATCATACAAATATAACTTAAAGTAGAATAAATTTGTTTAGACAGAACACTGAAACAATAAAGAAAGGAACTGAACAAAAAAAAATATCTACTTCATACTGTAAAAATACAAGCTAATCATAAAGAAAAGAAAATTAGATTTGTACTGTGAAGGTACTTTTTAGTTTGTGTGTTTGAAGATACACATATATTTATATATATATGTTTGTGTATATATGGGGAAAGGGGAAGCAGGAAGAGGGGAAATGTCCTTAAGAGTCTACTGACTTCAAAATTTAGGCTTGCAAAAAACGTATCATTTAAGAGGATGTACTTTGTACCACTTTCTTTGAAAATTTTTGTTAAATCTGAATCCAGTTGTAATTTTTAAGTAAATAGTGTTCTGCCCCACCAACATAATAATGTTACCAGATACTTTGACTTCGAAGCCTCAGTGGAAGAAGCTGATAACTTTTGTTTACCTGGAAACACAAATATCAGTTTACCATAGTTGAATAGTATGCTTGTTTTCTATCAGCTTCTGTTTTTGTTTTCTTGCATTTTTTTTTCTTCAAGCACACCATAGTTTGCCCTATTATCCTAACAGTAGAAGTAGTATCTTTCAAAGATTTCCAAATTAAGGAGGGAGGCAGTGGTATTTATAAATAAAATTCAATGCCTATAGTCAATGCAAATTCACCTGTTATTTAGACTTACTTTCTTCTGAGACACATCAGTTTTCTGTTTGTGTTCTTTCTGAAGTTGGAAGCTGCCTTAAAATTGGTCTTGGTTTTGAGTGTGTTTTCTGAGGCTATACATATCAGTTGTCTTTGGCTTACTCAGGGATTTTTATTCCTCTCTTTAAATGTCAAATAATGAAGATATTTTTGTATTATTTAGAAAAACCTTCAGACCTCAGAGAGCAAGATATATATAGATAGATTTGGGTTTGCAATGCAGTCTATAACTTGGTGTCAAACTATTCCACTTGAGATTATTTTAGTACTTGAGATTATCTGTACTTAACTACGCAGTGGATTAATTTCCTTTCTTTTCCTGGTTCTGTATAAATGTGAGAGATATTCTTATAGTCTTTGTAGCTGTTTTCACTCTGCCATGTTTGCCTTTTTCAGTTTTTAACTAGAGTTCAGTAAGATCTGAAACTAAGATACTAGAAAAAAGAACATAAAAGGGAAGATAATAGATCTGCACTTACTTCTATTCAGAAAGTATGTCCTTGTGGATGGAGAAAAGGAACATACAACTCAGCTCTTACATTATCATTTCATCTACGCAGATTAGGACAGATTAAATCAAAGGGAAATGGTTCTTCATTTTCTATACAGAGCAGAAAGAGACATCTTTGACCTTTTAAAGATGAGTGAGTCTGATTGTGCTTTTTCTGCAGAGAGAAAAAAGGAATTACAATAATTTTTCCAATTAATAATTTTGCAATTGCAAGGAATTACAATAATTTGTTCTGTAGAACAGGATAAATGTTCAAGAACCAGGCAGAATAAGGATATGGAGATGTTTTTCCATCTGTATTAAAATACTCCCACCTGAAAAGTACTTAAATACAATTTTTATCAATATTATATAATATAACCTACTAAAGCTTGAGAAGTAGCTCAGTACAAAGCTTCATTTGGTTAAACATTAGCTTTTAAGCAACTCATCACAGCAAACCTTACATGCATCAAAGCCATGTCATTTGTTTTAAAAACATTAATTTATTCTTTTGAAAGAAACTGAATGAACTTTATAAGGAAATTATGTAAATGTATTGTGTTTTTTGTAGCTAAAGGAACCATTGGGCTGTTCTACTCCATGTTTATTAGCAGAAAACTTCATCAGGCAGCTAAATTAACCTGCTAAGGCAGATTCCACACTACTGTATGCTAATCATCATGGTCATTGTGTTTGCTTTCACGACAGTTGATATTTAAGATTATTTAGCTTTGTGCAAGGATGTTGCTCATCAGTGCCTGTGTTCAGACTAGGAAATGCTTAAATCTGTTCTACACTAGCCTTCTGTTCCAAGCTTGCTGGGGCTGGATTTGCCTGTGTGCTCAGTCCTGCGTGCAGGCGCGCAGTCAGAGCTGGGGCTCTCCCCATCCTGTGCCGTGGCTGTGTGTTCCCCATCCTGTGCCGTGGCTGTGTGTTCCCCATCCTGTGCCGTGGCTGTGTGTTCCCCACCCTGCTCTTGCTGGGAGGGCTGGCTGGACACACTACCCCCCAGGAGCTGCTCTCTCTTTCTCCACTATGTGAATTTAGTTGTATTTCAGTAGTGGGGTCAAGTCCCAGGGCTACTCAGCCATATCAGCAGCAGGATCATTTTCTGTCCTGTGGCATCTAAAAGCACAATTTAGGCATATGTACAGTTTATCCAGGAGCTTGTGACTAGAAAGTAATTGTGCTTTTCCTTATGTAAGTCTATTAGCCAGTGAGAGTAATAAGCTTGAGTGGGAATACAAGCAAGAAGCAGAAAAACAATTCCAAGTAGCTTTGTGCTGAGCTGACCCATCAGGCTTAGTTCTGTACAAAAAAGTCAGTGAGTCTTTAGTTTTCACTAGCTTTATAATAAACAGCATATTCCTACCTGTTCAGTGTCATTAAAGTACAGTGCACTTCAAGTGATCTATTATCTTCCTTTGAGGCAGCGCAAATGTGTAAGGGAAGATTTTGTGTTTGGTTTTGATGCTCCTAATGCTGACTTAGTAACTCTTCCTGGTGTGTTAAGAGTTTTTGTAATTTACACCTATTTATTCAGTATAAAAGTTTTACTTTATTAAAAATATTAATTTGCAGGCACTACTGCCAATTTTAACTAGAAAGTATTTTGGATCACCGTCAGGTATTCATTTTAGCCAAGAGGCTTTTTGCTCTTCCAAAGACTGTCATAGTTTGTGTGATGTTAAATGCTGTGTGGGTGGGGCAGTGATTCTCCCAGAGGATACAAATTTACCAGTGATGGAATGGTTTCTTAGGCCAGTTAGAATTGAGAAACTGTTTAATATTCAGTGGCCAAATAGTTTGCCATGCGAATTCTTCGTTGGTTTGTTAGTTGTTTGTTTTTTTTTTTAATTCAGTTGTGTTATTTTGTTTCTTGAGCAAACCTAAAGTCATAATTTTTGGTATGCTAATTGTGCAGGTTCAAGTTGTGGATAAGAACCACAGATTGCTGTTACTGTTATAATCTATATTAGATCTCTGCTGATGGAAAGAATCCTACATGAGGAAACTGTTAGGTAATTTCTTACTTTCTTTTAAGCCTTATAGTTGCAGCGAGTTAGCTTCATTCCTGACATCAGTCACAGCCCCATTAAACCAGAGAAAACTATTTTTATGCCAGTGTGGAATTTGGTCACAAATACTTTTATAAAAACATCTGAAAGCATATTGATAGCCATGGAAAACGTGATTCACTTCTTAAGAAGCGCAAACTACTGTGGAGGCACTCCTGTCATTGCAGAATGATGCCAATGTGTTTAGTAAGCACAGGAAAGGGAAGGAGTTGGGAAGAATTTCCCAACAACATTCTCATTAGAGCAGATTGTCAAGAGAGGGTTCACTAGTTTTTAATATGATAAAGAAAACTTAATGCTTTGAGTCACTAATAAAATTAGAAACAACACCCAAAGACAACGTTAAATAAATTTCTTCAAATTCTCTTTCTTCAATGTAACAAATAGTAGCACACTAAGAAATGGAATTGCAGCTGTTCAGTATTTTTAGGACTTAACACACAAACTTGAGGGTGCGCAACATCTAAAAAGTTATGTTGCTGATCTATTTGGTAGTTTATCTTGCTACTGTTACATGAAAAACCAGCTGAGCCTTGATTCAATTAAAAGACAGTTTTGTCACTGTTGTTACAGCTTGAGCACTTAACACTCCAAAACATTTTTGTAATAAAACTAATAAATGCAGTTGCTTGCAGACTGAAGCTTCCTCGCTGATTCTTCCTTACCTTCCTGTGCATAAGAGTTCAGGAACCATATGTTCTCTCTGCAGTAAGGAACAGACTGCACATATTAGGCAATTAATTACTGATGCTTCTCTTCTCTTGGCCTAATAGTGAAATGCCATAAGGTAGGGAAATGAAAACTGATCTTAGAGTGCATGCTCTGGTTTCAAAGTTAAAAATGTGTAATAAGTTTTAATGACTCCATAGCAAAAAATACATACATTTTGAAACATAATTCCAGCTGTTAATTTATAAATCTGCCTGTATAACACAATAGTTATAATAGTGATTTATTTATGAAATATGCATATTGTGCAAAATAAAACCTTTTTTGGTGCTTATTTGGCTTATCAAAACATGAAAAATTAATCAGAAGTGTTTGGATAGATTAAATTCAGAAGAGAAGCCTGTTGTGTAAAAATATTTGTTTAGCATTAATGTGAATTTTGCACATATCTTAAACACAATTGCCTGCCAACCCCATTCAGTGTTCACCTTGTTGAAAATTTGTCAGACTGAAAACAATATTTTGGAAATTTTTAACTTATTGTCAAAGAACATGGTGTTACTAACACAATGCCACATTTACCTCATTTTTAGAAGGAACTATATTTACAGAATTCAGAGAAGCTGTTCAGGTGTTTTAAACCCATCCTGTAAAACTATGATGCAGTCAGAAAACATCTTCATGCCTTATGCAAGCTCTGGGTGAGCAGATAGATTCAGTCTTTAGTCATGGACTATTTTTTTGCATAAATATGCACTCTTAAGAGTTTTTCATATCAATTGGCATCCTGCTGCTTTGTGTCCAGAAATTACAAGGGATACATTTCACTGTTTACCGTCTAATAATAAATTGTTTACCATGTTTCCATTCTTATACACTTTGTTTGTATGCGCTCCTTCTCATTTTAAATTTCATCATTTGAAACTAACTCGTGAAAATGGCTGATGATCAAATTGGACCTGTAAAATGTGATCTCATAAGAAGTTGCTTCATTAATGCTTTGCTGAGATATAAGCAAAATACTAATTTTGTTGTATTTACATTACTTAAAAGCAAGATGCTGAAATCTGTTTTTCTTCGGGGCTTTTAATTTTGAATTTTTAAAAATCTACTTAAACAGCACAGTCATCTTTGTTACATAACTAACCATCTGAGTTAGATAACATTTTTGGTATTTGTTAATTCTTGTCACTATGGTAGAGATGAGAATAGTGTTGAAAAAAAGAAAAAATTATCTCTGAGGAGTACAAGCTGAATTTAATTCCATGACAGTGCAATGAGAAGTCTTCCCTTGCCCCCATCTCTTGTTTTGTGTATTTTAGGGTGAAGGGTTCCCTTTAAAATAGGCTTAATTTGGATGGCAAGAGGTGAGGGTTGTGAGATAATAGATCACACCCTTTTTAGTGTACAGGCTTCTGGCACAACTAGAGTGCTGTCCAAACACTGTGGATTCATTAAGAAAGCGATTTCTAGTTCTGCATTTGGGCAGCATACAAGCTAGATGCATCAGTGATGGGAACTTTTTGTAGTATATTTATGGGATGACTAAGAACTTGTACAAACTGGAGGAAGGCAATGCCCATTAAAGCAACACTTGAATTCCAGTATTTAGTGTTTTGTATAATGAGGGATTTAAAATGTGTAAGTGCCTTATTGCTTGAAACAAATGAAAGGTGTTCATACCCCTCAACAGAGCAGTGTGGGAATTCCTGTTCTGTGGATTCCTACAGTTACATTAAGCCGAAGTAATGAGTTTGGTTTGCTGAGAAAGTTGACAAATGTTATATTAGGGAAGAAGTTAGCCTATCATAAAAGTAATCTGGCATGCTTATTTTAATTCTGATCATCTCATTTCTGTGGCTTTTTTAACTTGCTCTTTGCCCCCATCCCTTCCTCTGACTCCCATCTTCCTTCAGACTTCTGCAGAAATGCATCTTAAGTTGTTAGAGTAAGTCTGGCTCCTCCAACATAAGAAGCCATGAGTTTTCCATCACTGAAGGAAATGCAGACTGTTGGAGAGGAGAATTGAGCACAGCCTGTTGTGGCTGCACCTGCCAGCTCGGGGGCTCTCTGGTGCCTTGTTCACACTGATTGTTGGAGGTGGAAGCACCAAGGAATATGGCAGATGGAGGTGCAGTGCAACTAGACTGGGGCTTAAAGCAGGTTGAGGGCATTTCAGTGTTATCCAGCTGGAGCTAACATATCCTGTTAATACAAATTGGTAACTCCTCTGGGGTGGGTATCTCGGTGGACGAAACCATCAATCAAGATGGTGGCGCAGCTCTGGGATCTCTGCCCAGCCCTTCACTGCAGGGTGGGAGGTGTGATCTGGAAAAGTATTACTCATTTTGCCATCTTCTGATAGCTTCAAAATGGGTGTTGTGGGGTTTATTTCTTCTTACTTCGTTTTCCAGAAGACAGTGGAATTTTACCCTTTCGATTCTAAACTTACTAAAGGACCTGTTTGTTCTCACTAATGTTGATGTGACTGTTGTCCATCTATCAATGAAGTCAGGAATAAGCTACTTTTCTAAAACTACCTTGAATTTCATGAGCTTATGGGAGCAGTTACCTGTCAAAAAAAAAAAAAAAAAAGAAGTATAAAAGGTAATTATCAGAAGGAAATTGAGTTAATGGGGGGTAAGAAGAAAAATTATGCTTAGAAGGTCTTATTTTTTATAGATTCCTGATCACAAGATGGTTTTAATATGTTCCATTTCCTCCACTGAGAATTTGTAAAGGAAAGCAGGAGAAATTAAGATTAATATCCCTTTGAACCTTTTATTTTCCTGAAACTCTTGAGTTTTTCAGAACTGTAGGAGGGGCTTTTTTCCACCCTGGAGTTACTAATTGGTAATATAGCTTTCATATACTGTGAACACCGCTGTGACTGTTTAGTCAGGATTCAGCTTGCATATCTAAAGGTTTTGGTGATAGGGAATTTGATTTAGAGCCATACTGCAATCAATTTATAAGTGAATTATTACATATCTTAATGACTTCTATTTCAGCATTATCTCAAAATTTTAAAATTTGAGCCTTCTATAATCCATTAAATAGAATATGCCATGTGTCAAAATACTCCATCAACCTTATGAGTTACTGTTTATTTTTACTAGTTGTTTTCTTAAATGAATTTTTTTCTCTCCTAGAACCAGCATTCACACAACCAAAATGCTGATAAGATTTCCCCATTATCTTTGTCTTGCATTTAGCTAAAACTATATTTTCTGTTGCCTAGTATTGCAACAGTGGTCTTCATACTGTAATAACTTGATAAAATATTCAGTAGTCTTGGGCAATATTTTACAAATGATTCATCTTCAAGTTGGTATTTTAAATGTACACCAGTAATCACTGTTGAGTGTACTACCTATGTGGCTGCTTTAGTTCATGTCAATGTTTTGTAAGGATTATTTCTTGCTACCCTCTTCAGAGTGCCTTTTCATTTAGGAGGTCTAGAAAGATGGTTCATTGAAATCTTCTGTTGAATCTACCATAGTAATGTCTGATCTTTAAACTTGTCCTGATGAATGTATAACTAAAATCTTGTTCTTTAAAAAGCTATAGTAGACACAGGTTGTATATGCACATGTACATGCATGGATACAAGGGAAGGTATTCTGACAATGTTTGTCCTGCTGGACAGGACCTTTCGAAAGTAAGTGAATTTTTTAACAGTTTTATTTTCAAAATGTTACCTCACTAGTATTCAGTAGTAGATATGTCTCTTTATTGCTTCACTTTGCTAAATACAATCACTGTAGGCAGTTTAATTTTTAAAAGACTCTGATGAATCTGGTGTTCATATGAGACTGAATTTCGTAAGACAGAACTTACGGTACTTTGTTTCCTTTAAAGGCATTCCTTTCACTTACACTGACATCCCAAGCCCCTGTTAGCAGCAGACCGAAAAAGTGCTTCCCCATGATGAAATGGAAGAATGTAAAGTCGCATTTGAATGCACTCCACCCATCTTAGAATGAATATTTAGAAATGGGGGCGGGGGGCAGTGGATTTGGTTAATTGTGGGGAGACATACATTGTAGAGTTCATTCACTTGCACACAAGGGGTTTTACAATGTCATCTAGTAATGTCTACCTAATAAAGTTTTGAAAAAGAAAAATTAAATTGCCTGAATGTTTAACTCTTTCTTTAAGCAATTCTATGTGTGAAGGATAGTTGACAATCTCCAAGGAGTCTTGCTTAAATTTGTAATCCTTTTTATGATATTTATATAATCTTTTTAAAAAAAAATCACACTAAATAATTTAAACTTCAGAATCTTTGCGTTCTCAAACCCTGTGTTAGAATCACTTCACTCTTTAGCTGCTGTAACACTGAAAATGAAAGCAGAGGTAAAAAGCCAGTTTACTGTGGTGAATATTTTAATATAAAATACTCTGTCGTGTGGTGTCATCTCTGGCTACTGCATTCATTTTTAAAAGCATCCTAATGTGCAACACAGAATTTTACCTTCTCATGAAATGTTAAAATGCTAGCTTAAAATAACCCAACATAAAATTAGAAGAAATTTGCTGGAATCCAATTTTCCCATTCCCTTTTTATGACTACTTCGTAAAGATTTACCACTTTCAAAGGGTTTCAAAGAAAGCAGTCTGTAGCTGTAAACTTGAAATTGGTTACCCATTAACTGAAGCAGTTGCCTCTTTTCTCTGGAAAGGAACTGTGTTCAGTTTCCTTACTAGGTGAGCTGTCAGTATTGATGGAATGTGTTTTCTGATGTATTGGGGATTTTTGCACATTCATGAACAGGCACACAAGGTATTACCATTACCTACACTTTGTTTCTGTAGGAAATAAAGCTGAAAACCAATTCCCTGCCAAGAAATACTCAGCAAAAATCTTGAGGCCTATGCTTTGTCCCTCTGATGGAGAAAAAAAAAACTTTCAAGCTTCTCCCCAGGCCCCTCCAAAAAAGTCAAGATTTGCAACAAAATGTCAAGGACATCATAGCAGAGGTTCCTTATCTGCAGGAATTCTAGCGTGCAGTGTGCAGCAATGGAAGGATAGTCTGCAGACTAAAGAAATTGATAGCCCTAGAGCTGAAACTGAAGTTAAACTAACTTCTCCCTTGCATTCTTAAACTGTTTGACAAAAGACACACAGCAGACTTTGATTATAAGCATGGTATTTCTCCAAGTAAATAGGACTAATGTGCTCCACAGAGATTACAGATACAGAGTTTTAATCTCTAGATGCTCCCCTTCAGCTGATGGACGTGTGCTTTTGAGGGTTTTCATGATTTGCTTAATAGTTTGGCTTGAGCAGTGAAATGAATCACTGTGGGGTATGTGAAATACTGAATTAGAATTAGCAACCACGTAAACCTGTTATGCTTCTGAAAGGTCAATACAGTTTTATGAAGGAGTCCTGTTTTTACCAACCACAAAGTTTATTGGCAGGTCAGCAAGTTGCATAATTCCTTGCAGTAGTCTCAAATTAAACCTAGACGTGAGCTGAGAAGGAGGATCTCACATGGACAAGGTGGGCGTAGAATGGTCAGAGCATACAAATGGATTGTAGTAAATAGCTTTTGCCATGAAGGGAGGATGCTCCTTGAATTCTGCAGAGACTTGTGTTTGGCTTTGCTCTTGAACATATTTGCAAATTATATATAGAAAAAGGTAAGCAATAAACAGTCTTGAGTTACCTGGGGGTGTAGAGATGAGAGTTAGTTACAGTAATCAAATAAATGTTGTTTGGACAACAACAAAATAGATGTAGGTAGGTTCTTTGCATGAAATTATATGACTGATGGATATTGGTTATTGTGCTTGTACCAAAGGTCTCTAAGTGATACAGGAAAGAAAATAGTCATCAGATGGGATCTGTAACAAAAAAGAAGGGTGAATCTTAATGAAACAATGAAAGACTGGTGAGTCTCCTGCCAAAGGATATTGTAAATGCTGAGAGCATTTACAGGAAAACTGGAGCAATTACAGGAGAGAAAGTGGTGGCAAGTCACTTAATGTATGGAATACCCAGTTTGGCTCAGAAAGTCCTTTGAGTCAAAAATCTTTGGAAGCCTGAACAGTAGTAGATGGTAGTATTTGTTTGCAGTGTTGCATTCTCCCTCAGATCCCTTGTTCTATTTACTGTCAGAGAGACTATTGGGCTCCCTGAAGCACTGGTCTGTCCCAGTATTTTTAGGTAATTTTCTTTTAATTGGAATTCCCTAGGTAGGGATAGTGTCATAGTGGATCCCAGCAGTGATCCAATGAGAATGGGAGGGAAAAGCCTGTTCCATCCTACTTGACCATAGAAAACACTCTTACCGTGGATGAGATGCTGATGGGTAGGATAGGGATTTGCAAAGTTGTGAAGTGGTACAAATGTATCCCCTTTATGTACTGTTCTCACCATCAGCTAATTTTTTTCCACCTGTTCTGAGCAATGTTCTTGCCTCAACCTAATTTCCACCTAGCTGGGATGTTTCCACAATCATCTCATTTCCCAGGCTGTTTTCCTTAATACTTCCCTTACTGTAATACTGAAATAATCTGAAACTAAGATTTGTTTTTGTGATCCTCTAGGAGTGTTGTATGCATCCAAATCTGTGTTCTGTGCTGACCCAGACCTTGACTTCTTGACCAATTTGGACATAAATAAATAGCACTACTTCTCTAGAAATATTTCTTTCTAAATAACATGCCATTTTAGCTGTCCCTTACCCATTTTTGTCTGTCTTCTATTTCATCAATCCCATTTTATTTTGTAAATTATATTTTTTTCTTTTGTTCTCTTTATGCTAAAGAACTGTTGGACAGTCTCTCAAAACTCCAAGTAGGTAAGAGAAAAAGTGCAGCAAATCAAAATAAAATTACAACAGAAAAGAAGTACTGTGTGATTAAATGAGACTCTGTAGAGATTCCCCTGCCTGAAAAATTGTACACTCCTCATTTTGATTTTTTTTATTTTTTTTGTTTAGCCATGTACATGATGCATCTGAAGTGTTACCTGTGAGCCTGTTATGGGTGTTTGGTTTTGGTTTGGTTTTTTTTCTTTTTTTTTTCCTTGGGGTTTTTTGGGGGGATGAGGGGATCATGGGGCTGCGGTGGTTCTTTCTTTGGTTTTTGTGAAGGAATCTGTATGCACCTCCTGGGTGATGGGGGATCACCCTTCCCTGAGGCTGAAGCCAGCTGAGAGAGGGTTTTGATGATCCCTGTGATGCACAGCTTCCCAAGTCATGCTCCTTACAGCAGAGTCTGATGGGTAAAGCATCATTCCAGTCCCCAGGCCTGGCACCCTTTGCTGCCTTCATCCCCTGGAGCAGGAGTGTGGCCAGTTCATGTTCCTGACCATCCAGCCCTTTCCTGCCTAAGAACTGCCTCATAGATTCTCTTCTTTTGACTCATACTTTGTTGAATAACAAAAATAGCAGGCTCCAGCCATTGGTACATCACCCCAGAACACTTCACAGAGCAGAAAATGGTGTCTGGGAGGAGTGGTGGGAAGGACACGTGTCCGCAGGGGCAGTATGGTGTGGCACCTGTCTCCCTCTGCCCCAGCCTGCTCCAGGCATCTCGCCACAGCTCTCCCTGCTTCTTGATTTTAACTTTTTTATTTTCAAACCCTGTCTATTTTTACCTTTAATTTGATCATATATTTATTATTTATTAAAAAATACTTTCAAATACATGGCTTCATTTTAATTTCATTTGACTTTTATGAGGTGATGGACAAGTCAGAGCTAATAATAAATGGCTTAGTGACAAACTTTTGCCAAATCAAACAAATTTTAATTCAACAGAGCTTTCCAATAACGCCTTCAGTGTTTCAGACCTTCTGTGTCTGTTTTTGCCTTTTTCTCAAAGTCCTTTACAACAAGCACTCTTATGTCACCACTCCCCTTTTGATGCTATTTTTAACAAACAGATTACTTAGATTTCAGGCAACATTGAGCCTCCATTTAGCTATCATTTATTTATGTATTGTAATCTTGAGTTAGCTCTTGTATGGCTTTGAACCTTAGAGATGATTGTAGCAATGTTATCTCTCCCGTAGAGTAAAAGGAGACAAGATAGACAAAGGATGACTTTTCCTCTCCCACAAAGGAGCATTCAAGGACTAAACGTGGCTGTCAGGATTGTACTTCATAAAAATCAACCTTTGTGGGGACCTCTTGTCAGCCTGATGGTGGATAAGTGGAGCAGCTCTCTCTGTTCATTCACCTGACAGCCTGTCAAATGAGTTCACCTCAGAAAAAAGTGGCTGAATGGGACCTGTGGTGATTGCTTTGCTGGCAGCCTGTCCTGAGCTGCCATTTTCTCCAGCTGTTTGAGGGATAAGTCTGGGGTGTGTGCATGAGAACTTCAGCAGGTCCCAGGGCCCTGGATTTGGTGTGTAGGGTGCTGGCTCTCCTAGCCAAGTCATAACAGGTCCAACCAAGTCATAACAGAGCCCTGCCCCTCCCAGTCTTGCTACTGGAAGGCATTACGGGACCCAGTCCTGTCAATGGGCATAAAGGTAACATGTTACTAAGTATAATTTTTTTAACTATCATCTTTTCAGAGACCTATCAACATCCTTCAGCACAGACTTTCTCTGCCTACTGTAAATTCAGGCAACAAATATTTCCTATGTTAAGACACAGAATTTAGAAAAATACATTTACATGTTTCAGTTTATTATGTGTATGCATATGGTATGAAAGCTTTTGCTCTATTACTTTTTAAGTATGTATGTAATATATAACAATTTTTGCTATAATGTAATAATATATAAAATTATATATATATATGTATTTAACCATCTGAAATTCAACAATGGTGAATGCAGGGTCCTGCACCTGGGAAGGAATAACTCCAGACACCAGTATAGGCTGGGGATGACCTGATGGGAAAACAGCTCTGCAAAGAAGGACCTGGATGTCCTGGTGGACAATAAGCTGCCCATGAGCCAGCACTGTTCCCAGTGGTCCCACTGTGGTCAGTGGTATCCTGGGGTGCATTAAGCAGAGCATTCCCAGCAGGTTGAGGGAAGATGCTCCTCCCCCTCTATTCAGCCCTGGTGAGGCCATATCTGGAGTGCTGTGTGCAGTTCTGGCCCCATCAGCACAAGCTGAGGAGCTGGAGCTCTCGCGGCAGGTCAAGCAGAGGGCTA